TTTAATTGCAAATTGTAATTTATATTTTTAAAATTAGTTAATTAGTTATAATGTGGGTTTACCATATTAGATAGGTTCATTTGAAATTATTCTTTGTTCAGTTTGTATCTACTATCTACTATCTAATATATATATATATATATATATATATATATATATATATATATATATATATATCTACTATACTAATAAGAGCCCAAGAGAGTTAGGCCTATAATGGGTAGAAAAAATGGCGGTCAAATTTTTTAATCAAATGAGTGGCTCAGATTGATCAGATTTTAATTTTTCCTTGAGATTTACTAATTTATCCTTAATGAATATGATTATCCGTTAACTTTTCCGTTAATTTCTGTTAGTTCACTGTTAACTTACTCATTGATTTCAATAAGAAAGGTCTTAGGTTCGAACTCAATTCCAATCAAAGTTGGCATAATTAATACTCTATTTTACTCTTATTAAATTAAAAATAATAATTTAGTAGCTACAACAAAAAATAATACATATGCATTTCTTTAATTTAGAATTATGTGTCTACAATGTCTTTATTCAAAAAAAATTATTCATTATCAATAAATTAAATAAGAGAAATAATTCCATTACTTATATTGTCTTTATTTTTCTCCACTATAAAAAATTTTTACATTAAAAATTCAAATTCATCAATTGATTATATTTGCTACATTGTCCCTACAATGTCTTTATTAAAAAAAAAATATTCATTACCAATAAATTAATTAAAAGAAATAATTTCATTAGTATATTGTCTTTATTTTTCTCCAATGTAAAAATTCTTTACATTCAAATTCATCAATTGATTATGTTAACTACATTGCCTAACATCTTTTTTTTTTTGTGCACTATTTTTTTAATTAAATATCAAAGTTATAATACAAAATAATGCTATACATTTATTTACCAAGTATTTTATTAATACCATGAAAAAATTTAAAAAATTTAAATTAATAAAGCCAATCATATTAACTACTTGAGGGATTTGTTGACAAAGAGAGTATTCAAATCACACAACAAATTGAAGTGAGAAACTACCTCGCAATGTCCTTGTTTGACAATTAGCAGTTAGCGGATTTGACCAGCGAATTATATCAACGGTTGGTAAAAAGATATTTGAAAAAATTAGCTGTTTAAATTAACATTTAAAATGACCTAAGGGTATAATAATAATAATAATAATAATAATAATAATAATAATAATAATAATAATAATAATATAATTGTATTAATAATAATTTTTTAAAAAATATAGATGTGTTTGGGGAAATTATTCTAAAAAACGCTAAGTGAAAATATTGTAAATTGTAATGTTTGTATTTTCAGTGGTTTGGAACAAATTATTGCTTGAAACTGTTGAATAACCAAAATACTTTCTTTAGTATTTTGATCTTTGGGTTACATCATATTTACCAATCGTCCAATATCTTTGGGTTATATTATAATAAAATTTTTTAAATTTTTATTACATCTAAACTTCTTTATCCATAATAATTTATTCAACAATAATGATTGAACTAAATGAATACTGACCAAAACACCTAAATGACTGGTACCATTGAGTCATTCATTGATCTTGTGTATATGCGCATTCATTAAATATATTAGAACCCTTTGCAACAAAAATACTTGGTTACTATTTAAAAAATATTAGTAATAATTATAATGAATCTCCTATATTACATTCTATTCATATACTATGGATTACATATTTAAATAAACAAATGAGACATTAAATTACTTATGTTGAACTTCTCATATATAATCTTGCATTGATATACTTTCAAATATTTATTTAATTATAAACATTGGGTAGAAAAAATGACCATCAAATTATTAATTCAAATGAATAGTTCAGATTGTTCAGATTTTTATTTTTCCATTGAGATTTCCTAATTTATCCTTAATTAGATGATTATTCGATCCGTTAACTTTTCAATTAAGTACCGTTAATTCACCGTTAGTCTAATTCTAATATTAAAGTCTAATATAGCATTATAACTACAACATTAATCTAATTCTAATATTAAAGTCTTTATAGAACTCTAACCACAAATCTGGCAAATTATGTTGTGAGCACGTGCACACCTTGCAAGGTGGGCACGATTCCATATCCATAATTTCTATACTGTAGATTCATAATTTCTATACCGTAGATCCATAATTTCTATATTGTAGATTCATAAAATTTATACTTTAGATTCCAATTGTTGAACTCTATTTTTACAAATCAGAGAACTATATGTTCATAATTGATAATTATACGGTTTAAAAATTATTAATTTACAGTATAGAAATTATGAATTTACAGTACAGATATTATGAATTTGCAGTATAGAAATTATGAATTTACTGTATAGAAATTATGAATCTACTATATTTAAATTATAAATCTACGATTTAGAAATTATGAATCTAAAGTATAGAAATTATGAATCTACAGTATAGAAATTATGAATATGGAACTGTGGCCACCTTGCAAGGTGGGCATGTGCTCACAGCACAAAGCTCCTACTGCTAGAATCTCCTCAAACAATATTACTCCGTAGTATATATTTAATATTTTATGCTTTAATTTTTATTTGCTCTCCCTTATATCCCGTATTTGGTTTCAACCATACACATAAAATTATTTTATTGACAATAATTATAATCAATCTTGACTATATTATCTTGCATTTGTAAACTTAGAATTATCAATTTAAATACGTAAATTCAACATTTAATTATCTATGCATGAACAATTTCAATATAATCTTACCTTTATATATACTTTAAAATATTTATTTAAGAAAAACATTGGGCATTATCCCAATCGCGCAATGCGCGTAAAAGCCTAGTAACTTTAATAATTGTTGATATATCTTACATAAATATACACTATAATTTATTATATGTGCATAAGAGATTAAACATCGTGTTTTATTTTAATAAGAGATTAATTGTTTTAAACAACCCCATCCATCTCAAATATTTAGTCCGTGCAGTGTGGCATCGAGTATTAATATAAAATAGTAAACCTGTCACATTGGAATAGTGTTTGTAATTCAAAATAAATTGTAATGGTCTTATTAATAATTTTTTGAACAAATTGCACTTTTGGTCATGTGACTATTAGGGTACTGATAATTTGAGTACGTGACTTTCAAAACTCACAATTTAAACCTTTAACTATGCAATTATTAGCAGATTTGGTCCTCCCGACCAAATTGCCGGCCAATTTTGGCCGGAAAAACATTTAATGTTTCGAATTAATTTGCGATGAGGGCAAAAACGTCATTGCAAGTGAATTTATTTGGGGGGAAAACACCTTCCGGTCAGCCAGTCAAGAAGACCACTTGCATAACGAATTGGGGGGAAAATCCAAAGAACTTAACCTCATCTTCGACTACTGGAAACTCGAACGAAAGCAACGAATCCGTGTGCAACGACTGGACATCATCTTCGACTAGTCATCGCAGATTGCGTCTGGAGCATCGATTGTGGACATCATCTTCTGGGTTTGGAGAGTGCGGAATTCATCATCTGCGACTGGAATGGCTCTACAACTAAGTAAGAAAAGTTTTGTTCAGAGTTAAAATTTGAAGAAATTGATAGTGTATGACCATATTTGTTGTTTGGGTTGATTATTTTGTGTGTGTGGAGTAGAATGACAGTTACTGCATATCTAGGGTTTTGTCATGGGCTTTATATATGCATAGAATATATTATGTACTGTTGTTTTGTTCTGCGGGGATCATTTCTGGGCAAGTTTTTTGAACATTTTGTCTTATTGTGTTGTGTTGTGTGGGCACCACCACTATATTTATACTTTTGTCAAGATGCCATGTGCATAAACTGGGATTATGAACCATTTCTATATACCTTTATTGCTTTGTGGTCTGTGGGGTCCAGTATGTTGACTATTGCATGTGTAAATGCTTTCTTTACAGGGGATGGAGTTGGACCTTTTTCTGTTTTCCTTTTCCATAATGGAATAATAAATAGGGTAGGTGAGGTTAAATATATGGGTGGTGATGTAGAAGTGTATGACAGAATGGAAGCTAGGGAAATTTGTTTACAAGTGTTGAAGGATATGATAAAAAATTTAGGGTATTGTGAAGTAGGAACACTAATATATTGCCTTTCGAATGATGGTTTGAAGTTGCTACAATCTGACATGGATGTAATAAGTATATTGAATGAGGAGAACCCAGGCAATATGTTGGAGTTTTGGGTTGAAACAATGGATGAGGTGGACTTGATTGATTCTGATATGGAAGTACTAGAGACAGAAAGTGATTGGGAAAATGCAATTGAGGTAGAGTGTTTGAAGGTAGATGAGTAGCTTGCAGAACAACAAAGGGCTGCAAACTTAGCAAAAGAAGCTAGAACTGTGGATGATGCTTGTCTGCAAATTAGCAAAAAAAAAAAATGATGACAAAGGATGAGAATGAAATTAAGTTTTCAGATGAGGAGTCAATTGTTGATTCTGATAGTGATGTTGAGGGTAAGTGACCTATATTTAGAGCTGTAACAGACATGAAGGACCCCCAGTTTAGCTTAGGAATGACTTTTGCATCTAAACAACAGTTTAGAGAAGCCGTGCAAAATTATACTTTCAATAATGGCAAAGAGATTAAAACTCTGAAAAATGACAAGGAGGGGGTGATTGTTAAATGTACACAGGAGTGGTGTCCTTGGAGAATAGGGTTGAGGAAAGTACTTGGTTCACTGTCATGGAGGATTTTGAACATGACAGATGAACATGAAGGGTGTTCTTGGTATGGGAAAATTATATGGTTAAGTCTTCTGTGGTTGCTAAAAGGTGGTCAACTGAATTGCAAGACCACCCTGATTGGATGATGAGAAAGTTCAAGGATAAGGTGTGCAGTCAGGAGGGTTTTTATGTTAGCAATTCACAAGCCTATAGGGCTATTTAGAAGGCAAAGAAACTAAGACAAGGTAAGGTGGAAGATACCTTTAAGAAGATATGGAGTTATAAGGCAGAAATGTCAAGAACAAACCCCAAGACAACCTGTCATGTGAAACTCAGTGACTTAAGTGATGAAAATGGCAATTCCAGGTTTTTGAGAATGTATGTGTGTCGGGAAGCTAACAAGCAAGGATTCGAGCACTGTAGAAGAATAATAGGTGTAGATGGCTGTCACCTTATAACTGAAACTGGTGGGATGCTACTAACAGCTGTTAGTATTGATGGCAATGATAGTATATTTCCACTTGCATATGCTATTGTGGAAGGGAGAAAAAAGCAATCTTGGACATGGTTTCTAGAACTTCTGAAGACAGATTTGGAAATAACTAAGAGTGTTGAAGATGAATACTGCTTCATTAGTGATAAACAGAAGGGATTGATTCCTGCCTTTGAGAGTCAGCTACCTAGTGTGGAGAATAGATTCTGTGTGAGACACCTTCATGCAAATATGAAGGTGGCAGGTTTCCAAGGGAAGGCACTTAAGGACTGTCTGTGGGCTTGTGCTAGGGCAACCACTTTGAATGCATTCAATGTTGAATTAAGTAAACTTAGGGGCTTAGATGAAGATGCATACCAATGGCTTGGTGATAAGAGTCCAACAGAGTGGTCTAGATCTCACTTCTCTACACACTCTCACTGTGACATGTTGGTAAATAACATTTGTGAGTCATGGAATGGATCTATAAGGGATGCAAGGGACAAACCAATTATAGAATGTCTTGAAATTCTTAGGAAAATATTGATGGGTAAATTCTTTGAGAAAAAACAAAAAGCAGCAGAGTGGAAATCTTTGATATGTCCTGCAATTGTGAGAAAATTGAAGAAAATTGAGAAGGAGGCAGCAAAATACCTGACAACACAATGTGATTTCTTCAAGTTTGAAGTTGGCCATTTATATGGGGATCAACAAGAGGTTGACCTGGAGGTGAAAAAATGTTCTTGTAGGGTGTGGGACCTAACTGGTATTCCATGCAAACATGCCATTTGTGCTATATGGAAAAAGTATGGAAAGGGTGCAGTTACTGACTTTGTCCATCCATGCTACTCCAAAGAGACATACTTGAAGTTATATGCTGGTTGTATCAACCCTATGACAGGTCCAGATGAGTGGTCACAATGTGACAGAACCCCACCATTGCCTCCTTTGTATTCTGCCAAGGTATATATGCATTGCCTAGTCATTAATGATTGACCTATCTATGAACTTTTATTTGACTAAATTGCTATGCAGGTTGGGAGGCCAAAAAAGCTAAGGGCAAAGTCAGCTGATGAATTGACACAAGATGGAAAGTATGTGTCCAGACAACACATTCAACTACATTGTGGACTGTGCAGGCAATCTGGCCACAATGCAAGGAAATGTCCAACCAATCCAAATAAAAAGGTTTACTTTTTGGCCTCCCATAACATATTCAACTACATTTTTTTTTTGTCTTTAAGCATAAGTTAACTTCTCATGTTTCTTTATTTTGTCCCAGTTGAAGCCAAAAAAAGAGTAATTTATACTACCAAACAAATCCCCATCTACTTGCCTTCAGGGCACAACCAGCCTCATGAGGAACAACATGTCTCTGGCCAGCACCAACCTAAGAAAGAAGACCACCTTACCTCTGGAGACCAGCAGCAGCAGGAGCAAGATGACCATGATGACCTACCAGCAGCAGCACAGCAGCAAGATGACCAAGACCAAATCTAATCCAAGGACAGTAAGGGCAAAAGGAAAGTGGGGCCATCCAATAGGAAAAAATCTTATTATACCAGGAGCAAGACCACCTTTAAGTCCAAGTTCTTTGGAAATAAGGGTGAACCAATTAACCTTGAGTGATTGCAAACTAGGTGTTTGTTTGGTTGGCTTATGACTCTGTTTTGATAACCTGATGGCTAGGTTAAGGTCTGAATGTTTGCTTAGATGTTTTGTATCAAACAGTCCAGTTAGTATATTTTTGGATGCCTTAGATGTTTTGTATCAAACTATTAAAAGTACAATGTTTTTTGTGAATGGTAATGCAGTAGGCTTTTTTCATGATTTTGTCCATTACTATATACTGTGTACAAACTGATCAATTCATTCATTACCAAAACATATATATCCAAAACCAAGCCTAATTCATTCATTACCAAAACCAACCATAATTCATACATTACCAAAAGGTTACCATAATGCATACATTACCAAAACATACCAAACTACACACATTACAGAAAACCATAACTTGGAAAGTTCATTACCAAACCCTACAACCAACTACTGCTACAAATATTACAATCAAGACTACTAAAACCTTGTTCATCGACTTCAAACCTTGTTCACTTCTCAGTTTCAAATTTAATTTTCGTATCTCTTCATCTTGTCGGTTGATGCGTTTTAGCAATCCTGGAATTATTCACTTTGAACGATAGCACATTGGAGTATCATACCAATCAATAAAACCATATCCCACCTTCCTCTGCAATAATACAAAAATTGCAAAAAAAAAAAAAAGTTTTAAACTAATTTCTAAGCATGATGTTTTGAAAAAAATACCTACGAAATTGATGTTTTGAAACTAATTTCTTAACAAACAAAAGAAAAAAAAAAATTAACTTACATTACCACCCAAGCATTGCCAAAATCTACAACCTGGGTTCTCAGCTGTCCAAGAAGTGCGTATTTTCAGTTGCTCACCACATCTACAATGGACAATTGGAAACCTTTCTTCAAATTCATAGAATTCACTAGCATGATTAGAAGAAGAAGAGGAATACGAATTAGCCATTGCTAGCCAAGCGGAGGAGGTCGAGAAGCAGTTGAGACGCCGTCGAGGAAGCCAGTCAGAACTTCTCGCCAAATGGAATTACAACGGTCAAGTCAATCTCGCAAAAGTTAGGTGGACGATTTGCTGTTTATTAGCCCAACAGGAGTTTTCCCCCAAATAAATACAGTTGCAATGACGTTTTTGCCCTCATCGCAAATTAATTCGAAACATTAAATGTTTTTCCGGCGAAAATTGACCGGCAATTTGGCTGGGAGGACCAAATCTGCTAATAATTGCATAGTTAAAGGTTTAAATTGGGAGTTTTGAAAGTCACGTACTCAAATTATCAGTACCCTAATAGTCACCGGACCAAAAGTGCAATTTGTTCTAATTTTTTTAAATGTTTGTCTATACTTTCTAACCTGTTGGCCTCCACTGAGGCTTGATCTTATGACCTCCTATATGAGAGAGTCACTACATTTGATCTGAGTATAAGGTGTTAGGTCTTATTGATAATTAATATTTATTATGAAGTTCATGAACAATACTAAACATATATATAAATATAGATCTATTATATATAGTCGTGCATTGCATGGAACAATATCTCTATCTCTATATATATTAAAGGAAAATGAAGTAGAAAAAATTTCCCCACAATATGAATACATTTATTGTGTTCACATTGATTAGTTAAGTTTTATATTTAATATAATTTGTGTATATATTCATTTAAATTTCAATTATAATTAATAATTAATTTGACTCAACATATATAAAAAGGAGAAATTAAATATAAAATAAACATAGTTCTTTCGTAAAAAAATCTTTTTAAAATGAATAAGTTTTTGGTGGAGATTTTCAACAAATATTGCCTGTTATTTTATTTGAATACGTTAGCTATGCAATTAAATTAGTTATTTCAAATTCAAATAATAATACAAGTAACAATAAACTTTAAAATCAACGTAATAATAAATAATTAAATTTTTATAAATATTAAATATTACAATGTATAGTTATACTTACATTTTTAATAAAACTAATTCTGCTTAGTATCATAATTATAATACATGATCAAATGTATGTAGCAGTGTCAAGAGTTAGTAATCCTAAAGAATTACACATTCTGATTTGTGACAAAAATGTACAATATGTAAGTACGGCTACTAATGTCGTATACACAGAAGTATTCAATAATATTTAATAAAATTTAAATGTTTTACTTCCCTAACATTATTATTGCTTATCATCATCTTTTTTTTATTATATTATACTGTATCATTCTATGTACTATATATATGACCGTGCATCGCACGGGTGCAATTACTAGTAAATTTTAATCCTTAATTATTGCTATTTTAGTCCTTTCAATTTCATAACTTTATAACTTTATTTTGGCAATCATTATACCATGGAACACATTGTATAATATGGACAATTGACATATATGTTACTCCGTTATCTTTAGTACGTTAAATATTCATTTTTAAAAATTTATTTTTAGTATATTATATATAAATAAACATATAGGGAGTAATATATTAAAAATAAATATTTAATATATTAAAAATGTATATTTTTGTCAGTGATTCACATTACAATGTGGATGGTTGTCCACAATTATATTTGTCTTGTTTTGTTTAATAATAATAGTTTACCAAATTTTGATGAGTTTAAAAACAGGTACAATTATGAATTATACTCTTTTTGTTCGGTGAATGTTATTTTACCTTTTGTGATTACATTACTTTTTTTTTTTTTTTTTTTTTTTTTTTTAATCTATTGCAGCCATCTAAAATTACACCTTTAAGGAGGCTAGACTTAAAGTTTAGACTGTCTGGAGTTAAGGCAAGTCGTCGTACTTCTTTGGATGATGACATTGTTGTCATTCTAATTGAAGAAAAATAGTTGTGAAATAAAAAATTAAAAGTGGTGTTACAACAAACAAAGTTTGATTTAAACAAAGAGAAAATAAACGTATTATTATGAAAATTATAGTATGACATTCATATTATTTAGTAATGATTTTTGAAAATAATATTTTTCATATTTTTTAATGGTTGAAATAAAAAAAATATAATTAAATAAAATTATTATATTTAAATTATTACCAGAGAGAATAGTTGCAAAAATTATAGGAAAAAAAACAAAAAAATGTCATGGGTTTCTATATATATATATATATATATATATATATATATATATATATATATATATATATATATATATATATATATATATATATATATATATACATACTGGTATATAGAAATATATTTAAAAAATTATAGAGATTAAATAATAGATAGTGTTTATATTAGAGATTTTTATATAATATATAGTACTACTTCATTTTTTTTAAAATTCTATTTGATTGTGTTTGCAGAAAATGAATCAGTATTTGTTCATAGACAATAAGTAACCCAGACGATTTCAAGATATTAATTTGTGACGAAACACAAAATAATTGTATTTCTACTACTAATATAGTTTACAAGGAGATTTTTAATTATTTGTAAGTTAGTCTTTCTGCAAATAATATTTCCTTTTTTTTTTTTTTTGGTTTGCACAACACTTTATTTTTATTAAATTGTACCACGGGACACTATCTAGTAATAATTATAATTGTTTCAAAATAATAATAATAATTTAATAAAAAATAAAATTTAAAAAAAAAAATATATGGGGAGCCAAACGTTCGGCTCCCCTTAGTTTTGGCACTTTTTCCACATCGGTGAGAAAAGTGGTATGGGAGTCTCAAAATTTCAATTTAAAAATTAAGTTTGCCATCTGTAAACGTTTTTTTATTATTATTTTATTTCTCCAAAATGCTAAGTGAAAATATTGTAAATTGCAGTGTTTGTATTTTCAGTGGTTTGGAACAAATTGTTGCTCCAAACTGTTGAATAACCAAAAACTTTCTTTAACATTTTGATATTTGGATTACATCTTATTTATCAACCGTCCAATATATTTGGGTTACATTATAATTAAAAATTTTAAATTTTTACTACTTCATCTAAATTTCTCAAATTAGGAATTTCATTATCCATAATAATTCATTCAATAATAATTGTTGAACTAAATGAACACTGAGCAAAACATCTAAAGGACTGGTAGCGTTGATTCATTCATTGATCTTGTATATATATGCATTCATTAAATATATTAGAACCATTTTCAACAAAAATATTTGGTTACTATTTAAAAGAAGTTTAGTAACAATTATAATGAATCTCTTACAAATTGAGGCCCTGCGCTATTGGGTATTTTGTACAGCCCAAAATCCGGCTCTAGGTAGTTGCTATTACCAATCGTTATGTTATGCATCCGTGTGCACCATGCATGGTGCATACGAATGCAAAAACGACGTCGTTTTGACTAAAAACGCGCGTCCCACTTAAAAAAAAATAATTCAGTTTCGATTCCCCTCAACAACATTATGTTGTTCATT